TAAATAATTAATGATGTAATGTTTATGTAATTGATAAATAATTAGATGTATGATTTTGATATTGTGATGTAAGTTGGTGAGATCGAAGAAAATAAGCAAAAGTTGATAAATTTGGAGAAATGGCTAAATTGTAAGGGATCCAAAGTTCAGGGACTAAAATGTAAATACTTAAAAGTTGTGCCGAACCTCCCAATGAAGATTTGAGAGTGTTCAGAGTCAATTGAATAAAGGAAGACGTCAATGGAATCAAATTTAGTCAAAAGATGATCACAAATCAATTTCCAACCGAAAAGTTATGCTCCGATGTTTTAGTCTCATATTGAGACCTATTTTTGGCATAGAAAGTGATCGAATTGGAGAATGATGTCGCCAGATGATTTATCTTTCCAACGCATTTTGAATCGCCTCAATCGGACATCGGAATACAAAGTTATGATAAAAACACTGAAAGAAGGTGCAGCTGCCTGTTTAAAACAAGAAATTTCGTTACATAATCCGTTAAAACAACAAATTCCGTTAGTTTTTCCGTTAAAAACAAGAAATTTCGTTACATAGCCACTTTTAATATATAGAAAATATAGGGTGTTTGTTTTTTATTTGAGAATTGATTCTCAAATCAATTCTCATTTTCAACCACACATTTTTCAATAAAATAATATTTTTCATTATATCAATAATTTTTTCTTCCTTTTCAACCACATATTTCACATCATATCGCTATTCAAAAATCAATTCTTCCCCCAAAAATCTCTACCAAACAAGCACATAAATTTATTCTAGTTTCAATAATGCGATTTATCTAGATCGTTGTTGCTTGATGTTTCTCATTTAAAATTCAATTACTTAAGCTCATGTTTGTCTCTCAATATTTTTTCAACACTCTTTTTTTTTTTACATAATCATTTTTAATTGTATATTTACAAAATAAAATATTTTAAACATAAATTCAAAAAATTTCTCTACTTTTTTAAAATATATTCTCCAAAAATTCACTATTCAAAACAATGTTTTTCCAAAAAATTGGCCAACAAACGGGGCTGAGTGATATCTAGACTGCTGATCATTTACCATCTAAATAAATAAAATAATGTTAAATAAAAATCATATTAATAATAAAAAATGACACCTTTATTTATTTCATAAAACCCAATCAATTGGATGGCTAATTTTTAGGCTCTATTTCCAAAGAAGTAAGTAGTCCATGCCATGCCTATTACTATTGTACGTCGGATATAAATATCAAACCTGTCTTAGCGGGTCTTACTTGGCCACTCCTTTATACAAGCTGCTTCATCTGCAGTCTGTACTGTGTGTTGTGCGTGTTTTTCCAGTCCGATTCACACAAAAACTAAAGGTATGAATTTATCACTGAAGATTTGAAGTTCCATCCTACTTTTTTGCATTTTGTTTATCCACAGTTCTTTTTCCAAGATTTTAGTTGATTTTTTGGGTTTTGTTGTTCTTCCTCTGTTTTGTTTTCTTCATGATACTGCCCAAGAACACACACACACTAACAAGATTAAACATGAAATGGGTTCTGTGCAATTTGCAGTATTTTTCAACAATATTGAATGCTGTAATATTCTATAATATGTATATTTACTGCCTCTTTAATTTCTTCTATCCTGTTCTTATTCATAATTGTACTCTATTTAAAGCATTAACTACTGCTGGCAGGCTCCGTCATTTACTCCTCCACCATTTGGTAAGGTCAATTTACTCACTATTTAGTGTACGTACATGGGTCTGGTCTGTTGCATGCATTAATTTCTGGTATTGTAGGTCCAATTTTGTCTGCGAAAATGGTTGCAAAAATGAAGAAAAATGGTGCTGGTGCAGAAGCTGATGCACCGTCAAATCATTTCAGTAAACCATCTTGGCTTCTTTGCACTATTGCTGGTAAAAATTAAATTACTGCTTCTTTATTTCCTTTTATCTTATTTTAATCACTTTTTATTTTTTCACTGGGCATATTTAGATTTGATGTTTCCCCTAAAACATAGAATTGTATTCGAAGTTTTACCGCTCGGTAAGTAATCCCATGAAAAGCTGTATATATAATTTGAAATGTGGGTCCCCAGAAGTTGAAACCTTACCCTGCTTTCTTCTTTTTGGCTTTTAGCGTATCAGATTATTCTGATGGGTCGCTTTCAACCCTGTATAATGACCCAGAAAAGTTCAATTTAAAAAGCCTGCAAAGACCAATTCCCCCCCAACTGCCCCTTTCTAGTTTCAAAATTTGAACCATTTTGCCAAACCAAATCCCCGATTTTGCAGAAACAATCTCCCATTCTTATGTCATCCCATGTGTTGTGTCCATTCCTCTGTCACATACCCGACCCGTTTAGACAGAAAAGGCCAAACCTTTTAACCATTTTAACCAGTTGGAAGAATCACAAGATTGCCTTATTCTGTACAAGATTTCTTGTACCCCAACATTGATTTACATGTTCCAATAATGCCAATTTATTATAAATAAGCAAAAATACTGAAAATAATTGCATTGGTAAAAGTAAAACAAATTTACTTTTTTTTTTTTGGAACATATTTGAATGTGTTACTTTTCTTCTTCTTTTCTTTTAATCTAAAGGATCACACCGTTCTTAATCGATTACGTGTGTTGTTGGACACATTGGAGTCTAATTATAGTGTATACTCATCCCATTGGCTATGTGGAGATTGTTGTACTTATAGTTACGTGTAAACAAAGCTCTCACATTGACAGTAAACATATATAACTTCCAGCATATTTACAAGTTTTCTGATTTTTTTCTTGTTTATGGTTGAACTCGAAGGTGAGGATTAATGGTGAAACGGAGGGTTGTGCATAATTTGAGCTACACCATTTTGAATTTCAATTTTCAAATGAATTAAGTTGATTTCATTGTCAAATGGAGCCAATTTCTGTCACTTCTGTTTGATATCCAGGACATGTGCTAGGGGTCCATTCTTGTAAATGAACGTTAATGGTTTGAAAAAAATGTGTTCTAGTTAGAATTCAAATTTCAAAAATTATACAAATAAAGCCAAGATTATCATTTAATTAAATAATATGGGTTTTATCAGATTTGGACGAGAGGATGAAGATGCTTATATCGAAAATCCCTAAAGAAGATAGCGCTGATAGTTTTGCAGAAAGGGCCAATGCCTACTATCAGAGAAGGCCTCAGCTGCTTGCATTGCTTCAAGACTTGTACAACGACTACCTCTCTTTGGCAGACCGTTATTGCCAATCACTTGCCAAGAACTATCATCGTCGTAGTCGTTGTTCTTCGCCCTCGAATTTTGATGAAAATCAACGGTCTGATCATGGAGACTCGGAGGAAGTCATTGATTCTGACGCAGAAAGCTCATTGTCTTTCCAGTCTCCCTTTCCACTTCCAGCCAAAGTGGATGTAGAAATGCTAGTAGCCGACATGGTTATGAACACAGTGGACTACGAGATTCTATCAAACGAACTTAGGATGGCAGAGAAGAGGTCCAGTGAATCAGCACGAAAGATAGAGCTGCAAAAGAACTTGTTGGATGTACTCGAGTCAGAAAGGTTAATACTACTGAATGATAACGCGACATTGGGCTACAGATTGTCCTCATTGGCAGAAGAAAACAAAGGGCTGGTTTCAGAATCTCTGTTTCTGAAGAGGAAGGCTGCCGAGTTGGCAAGGTGTCTGTTGAAGACGAGGGAGGATCACAGGGTATTCGTGCTGAGTCGAAAGATTGAAGATCTGCAGGGGCAGATATATGGATTGGAGAAGAGAAACAAGGAGTACTATGAACAACTTGTTAAACAAGATGAACAGAAGAACAAAACTAAGAAAAAGAATGGTAGGATTAAAGATCAGGTGAGTTTGGATAACTGCTTCAAAGTGCGTGCAAGTGCTGCTGCCAATGTGAAAAGGGACTTTAAGCCTAAAGATGGAGGTGTTGAAGGTGCAAGAGTTTCCAAGTTGTGGAATAGGGTCAAGAAAATGGATCTATTCAGTTGTGGATCTTGTGGCCCTCATGTCAATTTCAGTAACAGCCAAGAAAAGTAAAACTATTCAAAAAATACCAGATGATAGTATATAATAGTACTTTTTAGCGATTTCCTACCTTCTCGAATGTTAAACTTTGTCAAATCTTATGACAAGAATCTTAATGCATGCTTCGTCGTTCTTGTTTGTTTTCTTGAATCCAATGTAAGAAAACATCTATTCAAGCTGCATATTTCTTTTCATTAATATAATACTTGTAATTTAGCTCTTCCAGTCTTCTTTCAGAGCTACTGTAGCAACTGGAGTTGCAAAATGTATTTAAATATGTACAAGGAGAGGTGGAAAGTTGATAAATTGCACTAAATTGTAAATACACTCGTGTTACTTATCTCCTTGCCCAGTTCTATTTCCATGTCATCACTAATAGTATTGAATTTTTCTTCCTCTTCTTGTTGATCCAAAGTCTCATAGAGTGGGGAGTTCAGGGTCTCAGGAAGCCACAGGCTTGTCATTCCACTGAAAATGGATAGTACCCCAAATACAAGAAAAGAAAGAGACGGGCTTAGTCGACCAACGACAACTAGTAGAGGAGCGATAGACGCGCCTAGCATCAAGGCTTGTCGCAGCATAGAAACTGCGAAATTTCTCACGTTTGTGGGGAAAAGCTCCACGCAATATACGTACATCACATCAAATGCAGTTGAAGCAGCCATGAAGCCTATTGCTTCGATAGTTAGTTGAGCTAAACTACCTTTTGATTGATTCCCTTTTTTGTGCGACGTACTTGAGAATATAGTGCAGAGGATACATGAAATTCCAGCAATGTAAGCCGATAGGGAGAAGAGCAAACGACGGTTGGTGAAGCTCAAGAGTACACTGCCAATAAAAACAGCTGGGATCTCCATCATTGCATTAATGGCTACCGTGAAGTAGAGGTTAAAGTTCAGGTTTTCGACGTTGAGTTGAACTCCATAATAGACAAAACCAACTCCAAAGCCAGTAATCATAACTATAGCCATTCTTTTAGCAGCCCAGTTAGTGTTCCATAAGTTCTTTGTGCCCTGACCAGCCACTTTGTTAGCACAAGAAGAAGGTTCTAGGAGACTTAGATTTGGAGGTAACTTCTTCCCGTTCACTTTGGCATATCTTTTCAATACATCAAGAGCTTCTTCGCTTCTACCTCGGACTAGAAGCCAACGAGGAGACTCCGATACAAAGGGCACAAGTATAAAAACGGCATACACTAGAGGAAGGAACGAGATGATCTTGTATATGTTTCTCCAACAAGTTCTAGTTGGATAAGCAATCAAAGGAAGCGAAAGAAAGCCTGCGGTGAAGAAAAAAAAGCCATATTGGCCGACTTGACCGCGCCATTTGCGGCCAACGGCTTCTGTTGAGAGTACAAGACAACATATGCCAATGCCTGATCTAGAAAATCCATTGGCGAAACGGAGGAGAGAGTATATCCATATATTTGGAGAGAGTGAAGTGAGAAAAGTTGTTGCAGAGGTTAGAAGACACGAAAGCAGCACTGTTCTTTTTCTTCCCAAGAATCCATCTGCTAGCCTACCATAGACAGCTGACCCTGTTTGCACAAGTAAAAACTTTCAGATTAAGTGGTTTAACGAAAATCAAAAGAGTTGGAAATTGTTTACCTAGTAAGGAACCAAGGAAGAAGAGTGATGCTGGTAGAGCAGCACGAAATTTTTGATCACACACCAGTCCCCATTCAGCAATAGTAGAGCTTGAATTCCCAGCAGCCCATTCCCAAGTTCCTGGTTCTAATCCACAAACAGAAGCTTCATTTTCATCACATAATGGGCTAATACATTTCCAGCCTTGTGGTTGTGCATCAGTAAATATAGTGACCAAAGTGTTGTGGGAATCAAAAATCCAAGCCAATGACACCAAAAATACATGAACCAGTTGTGAAAATCCAAATGATCCTACATATTCTTCAACCACTTCATCTACTGTCAATTGTAACTTGTTCCCACTTCCCTTTACAAGCCCTTGGTCTTCTTCGTCCATATTCAATTATTTGGTATTTTAAGTTTTCCCTAGCGTCTCTGCTTTATATCCAGAGGTTTGGGAAATTGGGATTACACTTGGCATGGCAATGTCCACTACCTCTCTTTGGTAAAGTGTTCGGTGACGTGTTGTGCCACTATAAAAGGTTCTTTATTTCTCATTGCTTGAAGGTGGCAATCCGAGTAAGAAAAAATTATGCTCCTACTCTAATAGCTAGCTAATAATTCGTCTCCATATTCAGTATTAGTCCAATCACCTTAGAAATTTAAGAATATTCAGTGTCCAGTCGATATGAGAATATTGTTTACACGTCACAAAGTATATTTTGCATCATCTTAGTCCACACATAATCGAGTGATTACATCGGGAACGTTGCACACTTCTTCAAGGTCTACATTATCTCTAATGTGCTAGACCCACATACTATGAAGGTTCCACCACCTCAAGAGGGTACCCGTACCATCATGGAATCTCTTCTCATTGCGATTAGCTGAGACCCAAAACTTTCTACAAAAGTCTAAATTCATGTCTAACCCAATGTGGAAATTTTGTTCGCACATCTTTGACAAATACCAATTTCTTTTTTTTTCTTACTTCTAACAAAGTCATAATGTAAATGTGTGTACGTTTTTCATATCCAATATTCCTATTATCCTGATTTTAGAAGAAAAGCATAAACAAACAATGGGACCATTACGACTCCACTACCCTTGTGCATGTATGAGAACTGACTTAACATGAACTTGACATCCATTTCTCCCACTCAAATTTCCTCCAGAAGGATAAGAATTTTAGCCCATTTTTGGGGATGGCGAAGGATTTAGGGAAAATTGCGGCCGCGGTCCCAAACCTTTCATTTTGTTGCAGATTACACCCAAACCTTTAATTTTTGCATTCGAAGTCCCAAACCTTTATATGTAATAGCAGCGTCGGTCCCAAACCTTTACTTGTTGCGTTAGAAGTCCCAAATATTTGTACATAATTGCAGCGTCGGTCCCAAACCTTTGTATGTAATTGCAGCGTCGGTCCCAAGCCGTGAATTCCGTCCGTAAAACCGTTAGTCAACGTTGAAACAGTAATTTTGACTCGGAAAAATTACAGCACCGGTCCCAAACCTTTCATTTTGTTGCAGATTACACCCAAAC